TGTTGTGGCATTTGTGTACAGTTAGATGTTTTCATATGTTCACACTTTTTATAGAATATACTTTGAAATTCTCAAACAAATTATCATATAAAAGGATGATAACTTTTTGAATTATCAGAAATAAGGTGTAATCTGAAAGTATTATTGTAACAATCGTTCATTGTCTTTTGTCCTTGATCATTAATATGTTAGTTAATAAATAAATGAACTGGGAATTTTCGGACACAATCCCATATGTTAATTGTCGGTTTGGTATAGGGGATTTGTAGAGATTGTTGTATTTTCTCAATTGAAACCATCATTTGATCTTAAATAGACTAACTATCATTGAGAACTGAGGAGCATTGGACGTTGGTTTCATGATAGTATGGTACTCCAAAACAGTGCTCATCCACGCACGACTCAGCACGCGGGAATAGAACTTGGAACCTTCGATCTCGCGCGCGAACACCTAACCTCTAGACCACTAATCCGGCACTGTGTAATGTTACTGTATAACCCCAGTCAATCCACAGTCTTATGTAAATTTACATTCCCTACCATGGATAGTTGCTTCATATCATACTTGGACTAAACTCCACTGATCAGTGATTCTCATTAGAACTCCGTGAGTTACACCGTAAAGCTAGTTACTATTGAGTACATGAGAATCATTCGTGGAGATTGTATTCTTTTTTCCAAATTATTTAACTTTCAAAAAAAACCAGATTTATCCATTCATTTGCTTAAAGTACTTTAAGTGCAATAGATGTAAAGGCGTTCAGATTATAATCACAAGGTCACACACAGGTTCAGACGCTACTCCATCCAAACGAGTAGTAGTGTATTTAGCCGTCATACTGAGTGTACCTGCAAGCCATGTATACATATATGTTACCTGACAATTTACATAGAAGAATACTATTTTTACTACGTATTAGCGAAAAAAAAATGAATGAATGAAATTTACCATAAATAAATCAATCATTAACACTAACATTAACAGTTTAATCGATTCAGACAAAATAATACCAAATGAACTCATTGTTATTTGGTATGATTAAAATCAGTAAGTAAGTAAGTAAGTAAGTAGTTGATGAACGTAACCATTAAGTTGTTATTAAGGGGTCAGAAGTTCAAGTAAACTTCTATTCTACTTGTTCTAATTTTATATATTTAATTAGCATCAAAATGATATCGATCTATCTCAAATATATATACACAATTGTAGAGACATAAATTTAGACATTTAAGTATATATTTTTGAAACCATGAACCGATCAATGTTAGACCACCACGCGGATGCGCACTGCTGAGGAGTCCCATACCGGGACGAAACGGCCGTCCAGTGCTTCCAGGTTTCTAATGGTGGTCTAACATTGATCGATTCATGGTTTCAAAAATGTGTAACCACCTAACAATCTTCACAACCCCGTAATGCAAATTACCTGTGCTCACTAGTGACTAGCTTCGTGAGGAATCTTCTCCGAGTTCTAGTGGGAAGACGTGACCAGTGAAGTTCAACCTGTTCGGGTGTAGGCAATGTCAACCGAAGACTGTGTATGAGGTTGTGCAACTCCGTGAATTTGATCAAGTTAGACATTAACACCGTTAGATACCGGCTCAGTGGTCTATCGGTTAGGGCGTTCGCGCACAATACCGAAGGTCCTGGGTTCGAATTTGGCGGGATGCAGGAGTCGCGGATGCGCACTGCTGAGGTGTCCCATACCAGGAAGAAACGACCGTCCAGTGCTTCCAGGTTTCTAATGGTGGTCTAACATTGATCGATTCATGGTTTCAAAGTTGTGTAATTTAACTATATCTAACTAAGCATTCCTTCACTACATTTATTGTACAGTAGTAGAGTTGTTCATTGAAAATCTGTATTACTAATTTGATATAATTTAAAATTCATTCTGAAGATCAATCAATCAATCTATCTATCCAATCCGAATGATAAATATTATGTCGTGATGAATTACAATATATGATCATCAAACTAATCGGTATATTATTATTTCACATGCACATATCCATGAAGTTACTGAATACTCGGCTGAGCCATGTTAGTTAATGTAGCATACTACCTGGTTAGGGTCTGCGAGATGATATATAACCGATGGTTAGAGACCTTGAATGACATGGCTCAAAATCATTATATATATATATATATATATATATATATATATATATATATATATATATATATATATATATATACATATATACATATATAATGAGGAAAATTACAGAGTTACACAGTAAAATTGGAAAACCATATCGTAAATCGTTCATTTGCAAAATATCAGTTCATCATATCGAACTGGACTGTTCCTGTTGCAAACAACATCAATCCATTGTCACTATTCATGCGTTTCATACAAATTCCATTGTGTTCCCACTCTTCTTCCTTTCTTGATCTTCCCCCATCTTCTGCTGCCAGACATTATGTTGACACTCACGTCATATACTACTACTTATAAGTAGCTCGCACCACATATATAGCGTACATAGTATGGCGACTGACCGCCATAGCTCATCAGATGAATTCACTTTTTTTTTCTCCTACTTTCTCTAGGAGCCTAATTTCATAGTTATTTTATACTGTCTTATTCTGTGACTATATTCTTTCTACTTAAATCCCCTATTATTTAAACTGAATCGTTTATACTACCACTGATACTGTCATTACTTTTGTTACGCATGCACATAAACACGTCACTTGATATGCTTGAATTATTACGAGTTCAGCTTGGTCGGTGAACGAGAGCGACGATCCGACGACACGATAGGCTACTCTAATCCGATTGTCCCAACTCCCCCCCCCATTGAGTCGAAGGAGAAGACTTAATATGAAGTAGAACATGTACTCTACAAGCATCCAGACAGCACGAGGTTCGAGTCCATAAGAGGATAAGAATCCCGAACTAAGGATCCGGATCATAAAACGTTACAGATAATGCATATTCATACAGTTAAGTCGGATAGGAAACAACTTTCAAGTATGTGATATTGATAGTTAGGTCTACCAATAGGAATCGATCAATAGAGCTAGACTTACAAACAATTCTCTTAGGATATTGGATGAATATCCTAACAACTTCTACTCTAGCTTTTATTTTCATAATTTCATCTTTCCTATGGTTTTATGGTTTGGGAATTTGAAATGACCCATATGTGCGCCAAACTCTGCGTTACATATGTCTGATTGTATAAAGCATAATTCTCTTTCAGAACGTAATTCTCCAGGCTAACAATAAAACTATCTCTCTTTGCCTATTTTTAATCACATCTGTTTATTTAATGTTCTAGCACAATAGTAGAATGTA